GAGGATGTGGAAGCTGCTAGGGTAGAGGGGGAGGAGAAGGGGACTGTCAGGCCTGAGGAAAGTGGGGGTTGGACGCCTCAAGGGTCCTTGCGCAGCAGTGTGGAGCCAGAACCCTCTAGGTAGCATCAGGAGCCCGAGCCTCCTCCCTGCCTCAGGCTTGGAGAGACTCCGGCAACACCGAATTCATCGGAAGGACCCGCATCCCTAAACCCTCCCCCATCAGAGGGACCCCACGGCCCCTCCCCTGCGGGAGGAACATCCCCATCCTCATCGGAGGGACCCCCGACCCCTGCGCTCACCACCATCGAAGGAACGCCAGCCCTTCCCCCACCAGAGGGACCCACCCCCATTGGAGAGCCCACTTCCCTGACCTCTTCCCCCTCCGAGGAACCCTTGTCTCCCTCTCCGAATGGGGGGAATCGCATCCTCAACCCATCCCCCATTGGAGAGATCTCTGGTCCTCCCGCTGGCGCCGCATGCGCTTCACCTGAGCGGGCTGCGGATTAGGGTAGCGGTCTCGGCACCGCAGCTGGCAGCTCTGCGTGTCTCCGAGCTGCAGGGCGAAGGGGTCGCGGGCAGGCGGCGCGGGGGTGGCGGGCGGAGGCTGCAGCAGCAGCAGCAACAGGAACGGCATCAGGGCGACCGAAGCCATGGCCAGGCCGGGCGCAAGGAGCGCGGGCGACGCCGGCTCCTGGCAGGCGCGGAGGATGCGGCGGCGGCGGGGACCGGTTAGCTGACGTCACCCGAGCGAGGCAGCCTGGGAAGGGGGGGTGGGGGATGCGGAGAACTGGCGGGGGAGCGGCGCTGCGGCACCGTCAGGGTGCGGGCAGGGCGAGGCAGGTGGATCGTGGCCCCTGCCGTCTGTCCCATCTCGGGGGTGCCATGACACCTCCCTAGTATCCACGCACGAGGGATCTCAGCCATCGCTAGGGGCCGAAAGGAAACAAATAGGGTGGTAGGATGGGGGAGAAATCTATTCTCCAGGGAATCAAGGAAGGCCTCCCGGATAGGCAACGTTGGAGCTGGCCAAGCGAGGAGGCCGAAGGAACAGCGAGGGCCCTGAGGAGGGGATGAACTTGTTGGAAAAGGAAGTAGGAGGGCGGTGGTCGCAGCTGGAACCCAGCCAGAGTGGAGATGGAGGGTCGTGACTGTCGCAGAGCTGTGTTAGTGGAGATGGAGGGTCGTGAGTGTCCCAGAGCTGTGTTAGAGAAGGCCTTCTGAAGGTCTGTGTCATCATCTACTTTGGCACCCAAGTCAGAGACCCGGTAACGTGTGGACAGTTTGCCTCCTTTAGGAAGCCCTCCCAGACCCTCCAGGGCTCCCCCAGCCTCTCCTCCCTCTGACCCAGCCCTGATCTACAAACCTGGGGGATCTGGTCCCTGCTCCCCCAGACTAGGGGCCCCTCGGCCTGGGGCCGAGAGGGAGGCGGCACAGAGATGCTGATAGGGGTGATGGGGTGCTGCTAAAATTTCTAATTCTCATGGGAAAACTTGGGACAAGCAGGAACACTTCTGACTTCCATCGCACTCCAAGGTGACAAGAGTGTAGCCCCATGAATCTTGGGTTAGGAGGTCCCCCTAGCTTCCTCTCCGGCAGGCATGGGAGTGGGGGCTCCCCTCTAAGCCTGAGACCTTGCAAAAATGACACCCTCCCTCTCTCTGGCGTGCCCCGCGCAGGTGTCTGCCGCCTGCGCATCTTCCATCCACCCTCTGCCTCAGCAGACGGGGCGGCAGCCACTCGGGGTCGGCGTGTCAGAGAGCGCCGTAGGTTACGGCCGAGGAGGAGGGGACTGCGGGGGGGGGGGATAGCTGGCAAGCCCCCTTCCCCGGCCGGCCGCCGCCCTTTCATCTCCGTGCCTCGGCCAGCCCCCACGTGGCTTAATCAGGCGCGGCTGTGCCTAGCGGACCCTGAACATCTGGATCCCCACGCGGCCCTCCCCCGTCCCGCCCCTCCCGGGCTAGGCTGCCGCGACCCTGCGGCTAGGGCCTCCAGCCTGCGGTTTGCGCGAGAGCCAGGGAACCCCGCATCTAACCCACCCAGCGCCAGGCCTGCGCCTTGGGATACAGCCATTGGTTATGACCAATACTGTTCCCCGTTTCACAGGTGGGAAACCTAGTCCCCAGGACCCCTCCACAGAGCCAGGATTCAAGCCCACACATGTCAATTCCAGAGCCCAGCGCGCTGAAGCCGTCCACAATTACTGTTCTTCATTCATTCCAAACAAAACACTTCCCAAGGATTTTCTCGTAACAACCTATAAGGAAGAACTGGCAGCGTTGTCCAATTTACAGCTGAGGAGATTGAGGATCAGGGTGGCAAAGGGGGTCGGCCCAGGTGACAAGCGAGGGAAGCCAAGAGAGGTGGGCAGACCCCTGCCAAGACTAGGAGGTGGGGAGTCAGGGGAATCGGGCTTAAGAGGCGTCTCTTAAACCACAACAGGAAGGAAGGATACCCGCGCCTTTTTAAAAGCAGAAGGGGAAACTGAGGCTGGAGGAGTTGGGACGCTGGCCTAGGTCGCTGGCGAGGAGTGAGAGGGTTTGATTGCCTCCCACTCAACCCCTTTTCCGCTGCAAGAGGCCGCCTGGGGCGGGAGCGGAAGGAGGACTTGACCCCGGCCCCCCAGGTGAGCCCCCGCGCCCCTCCTGCCGTTCCCGAGGGAGCAGATCCAGGTGAGGGGCAGGCGGGCCGGCGAGCGGCCGGGGTCGGGTTTCAGGAAATCCGCCGACATTCCTTCGGGGCTTAAGAGGGAAAGTTGACTCGGCGCCGCCCCTCGCCCCCCCCACTTCCTACCCCCCGGGGCGGCAGGCGGGGTGGGGGGGGGGGCCGGGGGGGAGGGAGCTGCGGCCGGCCTGGGCGTGAATCAGAGGCGGGCCGGGCGTCCGGGAAGCGGCGGCCGAGGTCAGGGCGGGCATCGGACAAGCGCCCTTTATCCCTTGCCGCCCTCGCCACGACCCCGCTGACCCCCACCCCCAAGCCGGGTACAGCCTGGGGAGCGGGCAAGGCTCCCTGGCGCCGGCGGCTTGCAGACAGTGGGTGGGGGGAGGGGAAGGGGCACAACTGTCACCCCCAACATGGCTGGCGCCTCCTGGAACCCAGACGTCCGAGGTTCTCCAGGGTGCGGAGAGGCAGGGAACCCAGGCCTCCGAGGCCCGGTAAGCACTGGCCCTGACCTAGGCACAGGCAGCTCTTCACTCCTGAGATCTCACCTCCAATGCCTATGGGGGCTGGATTTTTTAAGTATAGACTGCACAAAGCTTGGGACCCAGGCAA